GAAGCATGTGTCTCAATTTACGGAGTGTAAACCAGAATTTTCCTCAGAGATTGATAAAGTATGGAAAAGGAAAAAAAAAACATGAAATGCATTTCACTGTTAAACTGCAACACAGCAGTTGTAGTCAGATTGTAATGATACAGTTCAGTTGAAGTAGATGAATGTAATATTGAATCATTTGTCCGTGCTCTTGCTTTCCATTTGATGAATCTGATTTCTTAATGATCTGTTATAAAACGTTGTAGTCATAGAGAACACGTGTCAGTGTTGGCCTTGACATGTTTGATTCTCATTCATTCCTCGTCTGTTACAGGATCGTCAGAAGTAAAAAGAAGACGGCTGTTGATGGAAATTTAGATTTAAAAGGAAAACACAAGGACATGAAGAAATTGAAAACTAATATTTTTTTCTATTTAATTTTATTGACTTTGGCCCATGACAAACTTTTGACCCACGTTGCTCCTGGTTCCCTCTTGTCTAAAGATGCGTGCAGGGATGAAGCTCGTTCCACCGGTTGAATCGCTTCAATAATATATATTTTCTTTTCAGTTTTTTTTTTTTTTAGCCTTATAAATCTTTATTGCAACCCCTGGAACTTGCATTCTTGACTAAATATAAGTAACAAATATCTGCACGTCTGTTTTTGAAAAATCTCTTGACAACATGCTGCTGATATTCGGTGACTGTTCACTTTGTGGTTTGTGTGTTGGAGAAATGTTAAGTGCTTGTATCGGTTAATCTTATTGAGTGAACAACACTTTATTGACAAATGTCTGCTATCTGTGTGTGGCCAGTTGTGTTTGACTTGATCACAAGAAAAAAGAGCTTCTATAATGCCCCTCTTTTGATTTGCTTTTTAATTTGTAATGTTCAGGGGCGTCTTACTTTGGTGGAAGAATGTGTACGCTGAGAGTTTCTGTTTGCATAGACATAATCGTGACATTAGAGAGCGTAACTGTTAGAAGATATTTTGAAATAGTTTGTCACCTGGCTTACAAATGATCTAAACTTAGGTGGAGAAAATGTGTGTCACTCCAGAGTGGAGCCTTAACATTTCTTTTCAGCATGAGTGTTAATGATTTTTTTTCTTTCTTCTTCCATAATTGTACCTCAAAATTTTTCAGCGATAGAGATTCAGGGAAAAGACGTCTAGAGATAAAACGCTCTGAAAGGTGGTCCCTCTCTTTCTTTTTCAAAGATGGAAATACAAATCTAATGTATGAGTTCAGGTTTTAATCAACAAAATATTCTGTTTTTTTTCCCCCCATTACGAGAACTTTTATGTTCCAAAAGAGGTCTCTGTTTATGTATTCTGGAGGAAATGTAGCATGTATTGCTTTTAAAACTCTAGCCAGGCCTGTCACTTTGTCTGTTGTTGTTTTTTTCTTTGTCCTTTATTAACAATTTTAATCTCGACATTCTCATCATTTTCATTGCTATAACCTGTCCACATCATCCTCAGACAATGTAAGCTTTAATGTACCGGCATTTCTAACTTGAGATCGCATCAAAATGTTTAACTGTAGCATTATACTTAACTGATTTCTTGTCAAGTGTATGAAAAACCCAGAGACTAGCCTATATGGTATATGTTTGTGATTTTCTTTCTTTCTAAAAAAAATAATAATTGCTTGCTGTATTGTGTGTATGCAGGAGTGAAAGAAAAGAGAGGGAGTATGATTGTGGAGCAATCAGAGTTATATTACTGGTATTGGAATATAGAAAATTTATGCAAAAAAAGTTTTAAGTCACCCCTGAATTAAATATCCATTGTACCAGAGGTCACCACCACATTCTTAGATTAAATCATGTTCATTATTAAAGATATACTTATCTGTAGTGGCTGTTTCTTTATTGTGGAGAATGTGACATTTTGACACAAATCACAACATGTATTGAATGCATTCACAGTCTGGATATTGTGTTGGATAACCTGAATTCAGATCAGAGAAAATATCCTTTAATATTGCACTCAGTCCAATGATCCAGTGACAACGTACTGAAGATCAGACGTGTAATATCTGGAGAAGTCTTTGCAGAGGTATGGCCAAGAAATGAACTGATTATTCATGAGTATGTTTTCATCAGTTTATATCACAGGAAAAGATTGTGTTGTTTTTTTATCTCTTAGAATGAGCTCTACATCCACAGAGGGAGCAAAACCTCATACTAAGAAGTCCATTGATTTGTTTCTACAGTAGCCCAGAATGGACAAACTTCACAATAGAAGGTTTTCTCTGTTTTTAATTTCAGTTAACTGAATTTCTTTTGGTTTTGAGCTGTTAGTAAGACTGTAAGGAAACTAAAGTGCTCTTAGGGACTGCAGCTATCAAAGTAACTGGGATTTTTATAACCAGTTAATCTAACTTTGTGTGTTTTAAAAAAAAAAAAATCATCCATTAGGTTTGGAAATGAAAATAAAAAGACTGATGCCAATTGGACAGAATGAAGGTGGTAGCTCTATATTACTTATTTAGTCTGTTCAACAGTCAAAAAATGAAATGAAATCCAGTGTGTTTTGATATACAGTAAACGAAAAGCAGCACATTTATTTAAGGGTTAGCAGAAACGTGAAGATATTTGGATTCTTTGCATGAAAATCACAATTAGGCTACGACACAAATATAAAAATCTTTAATATTTTTTTAAGGAATTTCCTGTTTGATGTATTTATATTTCAGCATTAGCCATCATCTTGCACCCTGTAAACCGATTGTCAATTACTTATTCTTGACTAAATTGCAGCTTTAATATATTGTCTCACCAAAATAGAAATTCGAGTATCACAAACATATAGTTGAGCTCATCAGGTAGCAGACTGTGAGCTCCCTGCATGTGCAAACATCACAACAACAGATTGTGTTCATTGCAGCCTTTGTTCCTGTGAGTCCAGCCAGGTGTTCTCCTCCTCCTCCTCCTCCTCTCTCCTTTTTCTGCAGATGTTTTAAATCTCTCCATCAGTGATGCAGGACGTGTGTTTCAGTGTGTGTGTGTGTGTGTGTGAGAGTGTGTGTGTGTGTGTGTGTGTGTGTGTGTGTGTGTGATTCCTCTCTTGGCATTCACCGCGTGCCTTAATTGTATGGCTAATAAATCAAGGTCCGCCGTGAACACGAGGAGTGGGAATCCAGCTTTTATCGAGAGGAAGTTGGAGCTTTGTGAGAATGTAACCAAGAAACATACATAGAAAAAGACTTAAATACATGTCAACAAAGGCCTGGACGCCATTTACGCCATGAAATCGCTTCTAATGTAATGTTACACCAGTTAAACAATTGCTCTTAACATCAATTACACATTAAGAATGCGAATTTATCCTGCATCATAATAAAAAAAAAAATCTTCTCGTCCTTTTTTTCTTCTTCTTGTCATCACCTAATGAAGCTCCTCTTCTTACGCCGTAAATAAATGTCCAGATCCTGAAGTCAGCTGCGTGCCTTCATTACCTCCGGCTCTCCTCCACTGGAAACATCCTGCGTTGTTGTGTGACTCAAACAATACCCGTCCACAGAGCCTGGCATCATCGGTGGAAAGAGGCGGACAGGCCCCGGTGTTCATGTCCACTCAGTCAGGGGTTTGTTTTCCACGAGAGATAAAAAAGACCTCCAGGATGAATTCACCCGAAAGGCTATTCATGTCTTTTTTTTTTTTTTTTTGTCTTTCTGCATATGAGACATTTTTCTACATCAAAGGCTTCCCGTGCCGATCTGCGTGCATCTCTCATCCCCGCTTCTCATAGGCTAAAGCAAAAACGTCATGACGTAGTAGATCCATTCTTCGACGTTAAAACGCTGAAAAGCTGCCTCGCATTAAAGCAGACCAGATTAATATGGGTTCATGTATCTTTGTTGCGTTTTTTTTTTCCCCCAATACGCCGACAAAAAAAAAACCTCCCCGGGTTGTCTGATGCGCTGACCGGGGTGCTGAAACCGGACCATGTCAGCTCTACGAGGATAGAAATAATAGCCTCTTTCTGTCTGTTTAACGAGACTTTAATAGTCTAATTAAGACTTTAATAGTCTAATTAAGGGGTGAATTCTGTGCAACAACCATTTTAACTTAACGGAAGATGAAGATGCCCTCCCGGGTCTGTTTCCAGGTGTTGGGTTTGCTGCCTGTAAATGTGAAACCGCGGCTACATCTAACAAACAAAAAAAAAAAGCCTCACGTGATGTCACTTGAGTCAGCATTGTATTGGGATAAAGACAAAGTTCATAGCAGTCTTGAAGAGAGTGTACTGTGTTTAAATCAGGAATGTGAAGCTTCATATAGGCATATTTTTGGATCATTTATTTTTACTTCTCTTCTGTGATTGTTTGCACCTTCCTTCCTATTGTCGTTCACCCCTGTGGATCTTTTAATGATGAATATTTGACTCATTTATTTCAACAATTCTTCTTATTTAAAATCCTATTCCTCATCTATATCTTGACTTTCTTAGTTTATAGCCAAAAAGCTCAAACCACTAGGTGGCGCCTCGTTAACCTTTTAATGTTTTGTCAGAAGAAAAAAAAAAGTTTCAATATTTTTAACAAAATGAATAAATACCCTCTTACTGTAGATAAATCTCTTTTAAATCATTTTTGATTAATTAACACTTAGTACACACACCTTGCTGAAGTCTAGTTAAACATCCATGAGAACACAATCTTAAGCTGTCTGATGTTCAGTGCAGGTTTGACCTCAGACCTTGATATTAACACTGCTGTTTGATTAGTTTGAACTTTCCTTGTACATTTCCCAGCATTCATTGCTAACATATAATGTCTGTTTGAAAGATGATTAGTGTAAAATGATCTGCTCCTCCTTATGAATTTGGTAACAGAGTGTTTTACTCTGAACAAATTATGGAGAGTTGAGGATATAACTGAGAAATGAATGAAGTGTATGTGCCATAGATTTGCAGTACAGTGTGATTTAGCACCAACGAACTCAAGCAAATAATTATCAAGAAAAATGGAAATAAACACGGAGAAAATATTTCTTATCAAACAGAGTATTATTAGAAGGAAAAGCAGGTTTTTCATGATCCTTTAGATTCATCACAAACACTCGTACATGTACAAAAGTGAGACTCTCAATAAACACTGAAGCTCAATTATTCAACACCAACAACACCTTCCTTAAAAGTTGTGCGTAACTAAATAAATATGTGTTCATAATGTACTTTAAAGTGCATCAACCTGAGCTGTTTTAATAATTCAATTATTTATAAGACAAGTGACCTGTCAGTTTAAGTAAACTGTTCGTCAGGACACTCTGATTTGAACACGTTGGTCGATAGCAAATAAAACACAAATCTTTACAGATACAGCTGATCAGTGTACAACTAACCAGAAGACACACCCCTGTGTCACACTGTTTCACAAAGTTGTCTTAGTCAGCTTCTGGTGCATATTAAATACTCACGAGAGCATGAAGTCTGGAAGGGAAAACATTACCCAATAAAAACAATTTACTCCTGTTTCAGTTAAACTTGCAATACAAAAAAATACAAAAAGAAAGAAAGTATTATTTCAGGACCCGTAGGGATGGATAACAAGAACCACATATATTAAAGGGAACTCAGAAAAATACTGAGAGATGGACACACTAACAACTATAACACACTATGTTCTTTGTTCTTTTCATTTGTTGCCTTTTTTAGACAAAATAAAGCTGCCTTTTTATGCTTTTTACTGGTTGAAACTGACTCGAGGCTAAAGTGAGTAAAGTCTGCTAAACTACGCTGACAGATTTTAAATGTTCTGTCTCAACGTGCCCGACTAGTTGTAATATATATATATTTTAAAGGCTTTTTCATGCCTTTATTGCAGAGACAGGACAGTGGATAGGGTTGTAAATCAGGGAGAGAGAGTGGGGAATGACATGCGGGAAAGGAGCAACAGGTTGGATTCGAACCTGGGCTGCCCGCCTGCAGGACTTCAGCCTCCATATATGGGACGCGCGCACTAACCACTGCGCCATCAGCGACCCTGTAATTTCTTTTTTGACATGTTCCAAAAAGTCACCAGCAGGGCGTATTCAACGCAGGTAGTATCAATTAATGTAAACATTTTTAGGATTTTCTTTCTCGAAATATTTCTTCATTTATAAATATATGTACAAACCATGTAACACATAGTGTAATCAGAGTGACTGGCAGTGAACACAATATCTTTGCTGCGTCCTTTTCTGACCCCAAAAAGATTGTGATCTCTCATTCTGGTGTTTGAAACTGAATCTCAGAGTCAAATCACTATCAGCTTGCTGTGATCTTCCAGGTCGACACGACGAGCTTCTCCGAAGATGAGGTAGATCACGAGGCCTGTGGCGTTCACCAGAGTGATGAAGGAGAACATCCAGGTCCACGACAAAGTGACCTCAATCAGGTAACCTGACAAAGAGACCATCAGCAGCCCTAAGCAGCACACAACAAAGAAGAGAGGGGTTTCAGATCCATGCCAAAAACTTAGAATTTACTTTTTTAAGTGGAAGACATTTCACTTTATACAGATAAAATAAACCAATAAACTCAGCGGATACATACCTCCAAAAGCACCCATCATATTCATAAAACCTGTCGCAGAAAAAGAACATTGATGAAAAGTCTTTAAACGAACATTGAGATTAGCATTAGTTTAAAGAAAATGAACATTTAGGCTGCTAACAACTCACCATAGATAGCACCAGCACATGATGGCGTGAGATCCTGCACGTTCACAGCCACACCTCTGAAACACACAGCAGCTAGTGAGCTAATTAGCCACAGCTAATTCAACAAGAACAGCTCTGTATTAATAAATTCCAACCAGTGAAAAATCTCAGGAAAAGGATTAAATTCAACAATGAAACTTATCTGTAATCTATACAATGCATCAAATATTATTCCTCCTCGCCGCACAGCTTCATCGTTGTCCCAAAAGTATGAAAAACATGCAGGTGAGCCACTCTGTTGCTATAACTAACACACTGTCACCTGCATGCACTGTCCCGCTGCTGTTAACTCAAACTACAGCACCAAATGTGTTTTAATCTGCTGTGTAAAATAATCCCCAACAAAATGAGCTATCTACATGTGCTTGAGCAATATTCAAAATTAAATTAAGATTTTAAAAAAAGCTGAAAACGTTAGTCATCGTCAGAAAAAGTACAGAATTAGCCTCAGAGCACAAATACAAAGAAAATGGAAATATACAAGAGGAGTGCAATGACTTAAAAGTACTAGAGTAAATGTTCAGAGTTAATTTCATTCATTCATATTTGATTTATTTGCACATTTCTACATTTCTATACTTCAATATGCTGTCCATGAACAAACAGGAGCAGGAAGAAGATATAATATCTGCTCCTTTCTTAATAACACAAGTTACTGTTGAAACAGAATCAGGTGGCTAACCCGTTGTTTTCTTTTTCTTCAATAATACCTACAGAAACAATCCAAAACAATCATCGCAGAGATAGATTTGCTAATCATTTCCCATAACTTTTTCTTTATACATTCTTTTAAACTGAATTATATTTGAGCTGCATTTTAAGTCATTCACCAGAAGATTCCACAGTTTCACTGCATTTACTGAAATACACTTTTTTTTTTAACGTAGTGTAAATTGACTTTTAAGATGACATTTCCGTCTCTGATCCTCCTCATTAGATCTAAACACAAACAACTTTCAAGTTATGATCTATTTCTGGTTTTCAACATGACTACTAATGTTTTTAAATCAACTAGATCTTTTAAATTTCAACACACGTGAGCTGATTAACAGACTGTTAGTTTCACCTTGTTTATAGGTCTGATCGCTCCCCCCCCCCTTACTGGTCAGGGGCCCCAAGCAGCTTCCTGCTTTGCCTGTTGACAAGCAGCGCCTCTGCATGTAAACACGATGTAAACACGGCTCCGACAACAATACAGCTGGTGGGACTCCTGCTTCTCATTCATTGTAGGCGGTCATGACTCAGAGACATTTACAGAAGATAAACTTGACTTCTGCTGTATTTATGTGTAAAATGTCGCACATTCTTCCTTTGAATTTCGTCTTAGTTTTACAGCACTCTCAAACAGAGCTTTCAAACGAATGACACAGTTTCAATCGACAGAGAGAATCTTTTTTTAGATAATCCAACATACCCGCAGTTGAAGGTGGTTAACCCCATAGCAGCAGAGACGAAAACCACAGCCGAGGGAAATGATACAGCTCCAGAAAGAAGCACAATAAACATACTGGATAAGCCCATGGCAAAGGACTGAGGAGGGAAAGACATGCAGATGAGACATTTAAACAGAAGTGCAGCCTCAAAACCAAAACACAGGACTGGAGTTTGTTTTGAGAAAAGCTTTCATTTATTTTTTTCCAAGAGAACTTAGTCGAACCTAAAATGCAATTTGTTTACACTATTAACAACGTATAACTGTGAGCAAGTTTCCTCTTTTTCTGCAAAAGGCGTTCACTTCCATGGCTCATATTGTTACTATGACACCCAGTACTCTTCTGCCCCGGGGAGGCGTTAAGGCATGTGACTTCGTGTTCGAAACACATAACACAAATTCCAAGACGAAAACCTGAGCAGACAAACCTTTCCCTCAACACAGTCACTTCACACGACTAGTAAACACTAACACACTGCAGTATTTCCTCACTTACCTGCATTATCTTTCTCACAGTTGCTACGCCATATCCTGCAGGGGGGGGGGAACACAAGAATGTAACACCTTTTTATAGGGCAGGTTCAGTTACAGACTTTAGCATAAAGAAACAATACGATGTTTAATACCTTCCTTGATGAAAAAATCTGATAAATATCCCCCACAGAATGATGATGGGATTGCAACAAGCCACGGGATTACATTATACACCCATCCCTGCAAGAATAAACACGTTCACTTCAATTAAATCAAACAATTTTCCAAAAGCATTTAAAATGATGTGACGCTGTCTAAAGTGTGGCGTGTCAGCAGTGAATGTTAAAGGGGGTGTCTGAGGTGGGTGAGGAAAACAAATACCTTGGCATGAGGAAATGATTCTTTGAAGTATGTTGGCAACCATGACAGTAAAGTATATCCTGAGCTGGAAATGCACATGTGAGCAATTATCATGGCCCTTTGAAACAAGAGAGAGAGACAAGGTCAGACTGAAAACCCAACGCTCGTGTGTGAGTAAAGAGTGAAGGAATAAAGAACATTATCCGTACCAGACGGCTGGCTCCTTAAAATAATTCAGCCAGCGTGTTCTTGACAAACTCCATTGGGAGGTAATACTTGATTCCTTCTGCTTGGGGACAACGTCACCTGAACCAAACACAGATTTATTTTACACTGTTGTATGACTGAGAGTGTGACACTGTATGTCATAAAGAAACACAACACAAGTCAGGCCATAAACAAAATGAGCTGTTTACTCAGTGCTATGCTTCAATCATTCCAAGATGTTTATTTACCATGTTCACACTTTAGTTAAACAAGTTAGCATGCAAACGTTGGCCAATTATTTTCTTTCATTTTTTGTTTTAATAAGGAAGCAGTCATTTGAGCGGCAGCAGCTCAGTCTTTAGGGACTTGGGTTGGGAACTGGAGGGGTGCCAGAGCACTTCCCGAGCACTGCCGAGGCGCTCTTGCCCAACTGCTCTGATGCGCTCACTAGCAGTGGGTAGAAGCCCCACTAATGCATGTCCACAGGTGCATGAGAAGCATGTCTCTAAATAACAGCAAACAGACCAGTGAACAAGTAAAATAACAGAGAATAAAAGAGTTTAATGACAAAAGGATGCTCAACTATCCCCCTCATCTTCACCCTCCCCCGGGACTTTCCTTCATCTCACTCCAAAGCGGGTTATCAATATGAACTTCAGTGATCAGTTATTAAGTTTGCATTAATTACTAAAGAAGGCTATGCAAAATATAATTGAAGTAATCTCCCAGTGAAAGGGTTTTACATAGTTACTTATTATTACTAAGCAGAAAGTACCACTGTGGCAGACAATTCAATACTATTCAATTTATTTTTGTATAGCGTCAACTCATAACAAGTGTTATCTCAAGACACTTTACAAAAAGCAGGTAAAATACCTTACTCTTTGTCTGTTAACATTACGAAAGAGCAGGTAAAAAAGACCTTACTCATTGTTATGTTACAAAAAGCAGGATCCCTACGGGTCCTTATGCAATGCAGACAGCATTGTTATCAAAAGTAATTTTTTTATTTGGTCAAATTATTGGAAACATTTTGTTTTGACCTGATGGTGGCACCACATGGGAAACAAAATGGTCTTTAAAGTTTCTACAAATCAGTCTTAAGTAGACATAAATGTGTATACCAACTATCATCCGCACACCACGGAGCTCCCATTTGAAGGATATATTATAATATAGTTTTTTTTGGCTCCAGCTCCCTCTTAGGTATGTGCGTGTCTTTTTTGAGTTTTGATTCATACTAATTATCATGACAACTCGTCCAAAGTTCAAGATATTTTACCTGAACTAACAAACTTAACTTGTGTCTATAAGGTCAGTAGGACAGACTTCAACAATTCAATAAAACCTGGAAACCCCTTGTATCATATCATGCAACTGCTGGCCGAATACAACAGTCCTCGTCCTAGCACACGCTGTGAAGGTCTCTAAGGGTCGTGGGGGGTGGGTTTCTTATTTTTTATTTTAGTATTATTTGTACTCTGTTTGTTTCTCTGTTCTTTAAATTGCATGTTATTGCACTTTATTTCTTAACTACCTTATTTAAATATTACCTCTGTGCCTATCAATATATCTGAGCTTCAAATAACATCAGGGTTACATGCACAATTGTAATAACTATAAAAACGAGTCTTGAAATATATTGTTGAATGTATGTTCGATTTACTTGCTCAATAAAAGATATTTGAATTATAAGGTCAGTAGGATCCATCCTCTGGGAACCTTGAATACTTATCACATTTTTTATAATTAAAATATAACTTACAGGAGTTTAGATATTTCCCTTGATTAGTTATTTTTATTTTTTAGAATTTGCAGGGCCAGAGTGATGGACTAAGCAACTTAAAAACTAGGTGGCGCTATAGAGACCAGATTTAGCCAGGCTTTTATTAAAGATACAACACGCTAAAGTCCCTTGGTTATTCAGGGATATGTGACTGAATAATGTAGTGTGTATGTACTGTACCTTTTAAGAAACACAGCCAGATGATTAGAGCCCACAGTCCAGACAGGACACCAGTACAGTAGAAGATGCTCTCCCAGCCAAACCAGTCCAGCATTAGAGACCCCATCCCACCAGCTAATAAAGTCCTGAAATACCAACAAAGAGTTAAAAATTAAAAGATGGATGGTTTGTTAAAACAGCATTTGGAATGATTTGTGTGTGTGTTTGTTAGTGTACAACATACCCAAGCAAGCCTCCACTGTTCATTGTGCTCATTAAAAACCCCCTCTCTCCTTCCACTACACGCTGGGAGCAAAGACTGGTCAAGGACGGGAAAAATACACCTATAGGACAGCGTAGGACACGATAAACTCAGGGAATATTTGATGTTAATTCACCCTAAATGAACTACACTTATATTTCTTAGTGAGGTGAAACTTCAGATACCGCTTTAATTCCTGCACAGTGTACACATACAAGAAACATCTAAAGAAAATGGCTTGTTAGCTTAGCTTAGCATAAAGACTTGTCAAGGTACGAGCATGAGATAAAACAACATTTAACAGCCATATGAAGTAGGGATGCACTGGTTGGGAAAAACAGGGCTGATTTTGATACAGATGTTCAAAATAACTAGATTACTAATTCCAATGCAGATGTTTTTTTCTTCTTTTGGTGTAAGACTCACACAATGCCAACATTTTCTCTCATGTTTGACCATGAACACAGATCATAGTTTGTCTCTGAATCAGCAGTTGGGTGTACTAGATGCCAGCCTTAAATTAAAACGACACAAACATCGGCGACCGACATCAGTTCCAGACGCATTATTTGCCGCTGTCAGTCAACAGGACGGATATGAGCCGATACAGATGTTAAACTGATGCATCGGTGCATCCCTAATAAGAACATGACATGCCATTTCACAGTTAGACAAACAGAATTATCAATATAAAAGATACTGTGAGCTGTAGCGGTGCATTTGGTGGTCTTTTGGTGCAAGCAGTTTCCTCTTTTTAAGTATGTAAAGCCATACTGACCATCTACTGGGGTTTGCAATCTCTTTGTTGAGAATTTGGCAAGAAATTGAACATGTGTATTTCCAAAAATGTTGGACTACTCCTTTAAGTGCTTGGTTCAAGACTGTAATTTGTACAATACTTACCCTGGAGAAGTCCCATGAGGAATCTGGCCAAAGTCATGAAAGCGAGGTTGTGGGAGCCCAGTTTGGCCAGAAGAGGAGTCACAGCCGTGATGATACTCCATGAGGCTGCAGACATGAACAGGACACGCTCTCCTCCCATTCTTATATAACAAAAAACAATTGGAGTTATATCCTGAAACTTTAGAAACAACTCACTGATAAATGTTTTGTTAAGGATATTTACTCATGGCTCAAACAGAGTCATGTGAAGTCAGCCTGCACTGGTTCATTTTACTTACTTGTCACTAGCAAGTCCCCCCAGGATCTGTGTGAAACAGTAACCCCAGAAAAATCCTCCCAGAACTATCCCGCAGTCGATCTTGCTCCAGTGAAAGGAGGTCGCCATTGACACTGCACAGATTGGCATGGCCATCCTGGCACAGTAGAGGAGACAGGTGCCCATAAACAACATTGGGATCCATTTTCGGGCCACATGTCTGTAAGAGGGAAAAAAGCTCAGTGACATCTGGATAATACTTACCAAAGTGTAAACTGTTATAAAAGGTCAAACTTAACCACATCAGGAAAACTAAGTGCTAGAAAAGTTTTGCCATCAGTTAATAAAACTGCGTTTACACAATTAGTTTCTTTTTATAAAAAATAAATAAGCTAATCCATTCTGTAGTTGTCGAGGAATCCCATTGAAACAAAGTAGTTGAGCAATAAACTCACAAAACTAGATCACCCTGCCTAGAATGAAAATGTAGAAACTTCTTCAAGACAGGAACCAAAGAAAATATTTGAGCACACGAATCACAGTGTCCTGCAGGTACAGATTTGAAAAAGGTAAATACACTCCTGCTCACAGTGAATACTCACTTATTGGTCGATGAAAGTGGGAGGAAAGGAAAGAGTATACTGGAACTAAGACAGCGCTCATGTGTAGCTCAATCATATGGCATCCCATCCCAAATGTGACAAAATTTACAATATATACACATTATTTATAAGACGACAACTATTTCTCTGTAGAGACAAGACATATAGACAATATAAACAACATTCCAGGAAACATGTGAGGCTAAATTCCTCATTTAGTCCATATTCTTTGTACGTCTTAAGTCCTTCTCTGAGAGCACTGATCTCCATTTGTGAAGTGGATGAAGCACAAGAGTTTCCTTCTACTTTGGAAATTAAGAATATTTAGCTAAATTGCACCAAATACAGGTCAAAGTTGTTTTATGGGGGTAGAATTTGTCAGTATGCATTTAGTCTTAAAGGTGCATTAAGGAGTTTTGGAAGAGAAATGTGAAAGTTAGAGAAATGTGCAGATTCTGTATCCGCCTGTGGACAGGCGTTGAGACCTAGCATGTTTGCTAAAACATTTAAACAATGCATCTGGTTCGTCCAATGTGATGTCCATGCCACATAAAGTCTATAATAATATGTTCATAATTTACAAAAACTGTCCTCAGAGGAACATTAAGTCCCTGGAACAGTAAAGCCTTAAACTACCAAACTCTTGGTGGAGACCCAGAGAGGATCACAAAGGTTGTTTGTTTCATGGGTATTTTATAGGCTACCTGTTCAGATGTCTCAGTCTGAACTAATTTGGTGGGCAAACAGTCTGACATTAATAAAAAAAATTGAAGGAGGAACTTATAGAAGTGTGATGGTTTGATAATCTCAGTAATCTTACATCAAGGCAGTCAAACAGACTAGATTTACTTTGTTTACATTAAAAGGCATAATGTGATACATAATATACTCTGTGGTGACTTAAAGTCAATCTGTTCACAGTCACACACAGTTCAAGACGGTGTATGACCTCATTTTTCACAAACTATTCAAAGTTGTTTTTTTTCAAAGTCAACTTCATTGTCAATTTCAAAATATGCCAGACATACAGTGGAATCGAAATTGCGTTTGTCTCCGTCCCACGGTGCAATACAACCAAAATAAGGTAAAAAAGAGATAAGGTAAGATAGATCAAATAAAACGAGGTAAAAATAAGATAAATAACATTTACAGTAATAAATTCTGACTCACCTGGGCCACAGGTTCTGGTCTTCCGGCTCCTCTTCACAGCCATTCCTACCTTCTCTCGATGTTTGCCTGTCAGCCATTCAGAGAGTACTCCTGTCTTCTCTGTCAGCTCTCCCGCTCTGAGAAACACTCTGCGCTTCCCTCATGTCCTCTGGCAGATGGCCGAAAAACAGGTCCGACTTGTTGAAACAAAACTCAAAACTAGAACCAGCTACTGATTGGAAAGTTTGACAGCAAGGTCTTGATGACAGTTTCACTCGGCAAAACATTTGCATGTTGCCACAAAGGACACACTTGATGGTTTGAAAACTGTTTTGAAACATTTTCAGGTTGTTTTTTTTAACCCCTAAAGACATTTCCTTAAAATGTGCATTCAAACACAATCAATACTGAATAAATTGAAAATACGTCTGTATGGTTCACAAAAGTTTTATTTTAATAATTGCAAATCTGAGATTTTAAAAATGTTGAATAATAAAAGAGGTGTGAGCTCTCTGGGACTCAGGATTTACCAACAACTATAAAGACAATACCAACTAAAAATATATTATGAATGGACAACTAGCAGCAGGTTTGTATTTTGTTTTTTATAAAAGTAAACAAATGAAACAAAATAAACACAGGTGCATTTTCTCCCATTGAAAAAAAAAAAAAATACACTTATACATGCATTTAAAGTGAAAATACTAACGGTTTTCAAAAGTGGCAAAATGGACATCAAGTTATGTGACCTTTTTCAAAATGCCTGTATAAATTCAAAGTGTCAATGCTTTTGATCATTGTGGTTAAATAATACAGAGCCAAAAAACAAGAGTATCAGTTTCACTCTGAATAGATTTTAAAAATGAGACTCTGCACTAAAAGGAGTTGCTTTAAAAGGACCGGTCGTTCATTAGCATATCTTGAATGGAGCAGCCTTTCCAAAGCTTTGAAACTCTCCCTTCATCGAGGGACTCACAGAATATTATCCTCTCCCCTCGTAACATCAAACCAAAACTTGTCCATTTGGAGCATTTTGTGGGCATTCCTCACTGCAGGCTCATAAATCACTCCAAGGTAGTTGAACTCTAAACTCTTAGTTCAAAGCCTCAGTCAGGACGTATTTCTCCCCCTCCCCCTCTCTTTCTCTCTCTCACACACAAGGCAATTTTCAGGTTTAGAAAGCAAGCGGTGGTTTCTTAAGCAAATCATCGGACATCATAGCAAATGAAACCATAAAATATTATATTAATTATAACGCTATATTACATTAATAAAGTGTATATTTCCATTGAATTGAAAAATACTCACATTGCATGTATGAAATTGTACAATTATTACTGATTCTTGCAGTGTGTCATATCAATGTAAACATATCTTCACTAAAAGAAGAAAAAAAACAGTGTTTGCTGTTTAAATTTGAAAAAAAATCCCCCGCCATCTTCTGAAACCCTGGTTGTGACTCATCATACGCCCAGGTATTAACATTTATATAATTATCTCTATTTCTGGCAATAAAAAAAAAAGTCTTGTGGGGATGATGGTCACAATAAATAATACATCTAGCTTATGCTTCAGAAAGATAAAATATATAACAGCAATTTGTGTTTTTTTTATTTCTGAGATCAATGTAAGAATCCATGATCCTTTTTTTTTTTTTTTAAACTAAATCATTTCTTTCAATTTGCAAATACAGCAATTTACAGATTGCACAATGATGCAAGTCTTCCCTCTCATGACTGAAACATGAAAAAACAATGTAGCATCTGTTTATACATATATATTACCTGGTTGTCACACAGTCACTGACTGATCATAAATTAGAGGGACGTGGAAGGTGGTTGTTCTTGTCTGTGTGGGCGTTCACTTTGGGTCCTCGATGGTTCCCGTGCTGAGGTCAGTCATTTTGGGGATATTTCACCTTCTTCTGGTCCAGTTCATTCTGTGCCCACAGCAGCAACTTCAGAAGTTTAGCCAGTTTGGGAGTCGACTCCCTGTTTTCATAGTCCAGCACGGCTTGGTTCACCTCACTCCACACCTGTGTATTAAAATAAATATACCTGTTGCTACAAGCTTGGTCCTTCAGCAATCATACCCGTTTAGTTCAGGTACAAAAAACATCACAACACTTTGCCCGGTTCAGATGTTCAGTCAGCGTGCCACTACAATCAACAGCTTTATCCATCTAGTCCTTGTTGAACGGTGACCGGCCCTCTTCATGATATAGCCTCTCTATTGCTCCATAGAGATTGTGGTATAGGAGTTTCCAATATAAAAAGGAAATGCAGGTAAAAAGATGTTGTGATTGGGAGCTTTTGGCAGCAGCGCCGAGATCTAAAACAACCACGTGGCTTGCCAGTTTTACAGCGGCAGGTGCGATCAGTTTTGTGGCATGGCCCTGTATGTTCAGCGGTATCTGCAGTGGCCGATGGCTGACTGAACAACTGGAGACCACCGGAGGGAAGGGTGTCAGTCTGCTTACATACAACATACTAACGTAGTTTGTGAACAGTTCAGGACACAAGGTGCTTTAATAGCCATCAGTATAGTCAGAGTAACTATGTAATTCATTTGGTAACATGGTTTGTTGATTTAAAGTTTATTTGTAAAGGGACAAGGATGAAGCATGTGAACCGATGCCACACAACAAACACAGCGTTAAAGGCAGAGCTCATTTGCAATGTCAAGCTGGAAACTTTGAATGTTGGCACTAGAGCAGGTACCAGGAAGTTCTTCTCCGTGTCATTAGACAATCAAATGAACCTGAATCAGCAGTATGTTTACCTTGTATCCTACTCTGTGTATTTGTGCAATAAATAAGTCCGTTTAAAGGTGTTCTACATGGCACTCACGCAATGATCACATTGTAATGTTAATGTTAAAGGTGCTTCTTCTCTCTCATTTCTCAGTTTTTTTAAGAGAACTAATTTTGTTGATTTGCAGTCCAATGCAAACAATGCAAAATACAGCAGCCAGAACTTGCTGTTGGTGAGGGTAGTTTGATTGCCTCATTGGTCCATGTAAAGGAGGTGGTTAAGAATGGGAGTTGCAACAATGTTCAACCATTGATTCAGCCTTTAAGTCTCTTGATCTCCAATCTTACAGTTTGTGCAAGTTCATGTTAACCTGATGCAGACCAGAATATAAAAGCATCAGATGAAAAAAGGATAACAAGGGAGGCATGTTGTACTGTAACATCCCAGGGATTAAAAGCAAACATGTGTAGTCTATTATTTCAATTATAACACATATGTATGTAACATGTTTTCAGATTTATTTTGCAAATTTGTGTTTGTAATGTTAAGTTTTTGCTTATTATTTTGAACACTCATAATCATGCTAAGAACTCAGATAATACTAGCGTACCTTTTGCCGCTGCATCATGTTGAGCAGGTCTCCGAAGGGCGACTCTTCAGGGTTGTCAAAGGCCAGAAGAGCTAGTGTTCTCTCCATCTCTGTAAGACACTCGCGGCTCTCCTCTCCCTGCTCGGCCAGTTGCGTTTGGGCAAACTCCAGTGCTGACTCAGTCTCCCTTAGCCTGATTAACTCGATCAAATGTTGCTGCTGCAAAAAAGCAAAAAAAACAAGAAGCAGTTAATGCTTAAGTTCATTCAAATATGGTCCAATCTAACCTGCAAAGACCATTCCTTTTAAATGGCATCCTGGGTTATTGTGTACAGAGGATACAGTGAGACACGTTTATTCACTAAAAAAACAGTTGTCACACACTTGGATAAATTAAAACAGTCTTACTCTTAATATTTTTTAAGAGAAGGTCATGTTTAACACTTGTTATGAGTTGACGCTGGGGCTGGGCAATATATTGAGTTTTTAAGATATATCGATATATTTTCAAACAAGATATAGGGTAAGACAATATCGTTAATATCGATATAGTTTATGTTGCATTAAAATAACGTTATAGAGGTGCCAGGTCGCCTTTTTCTCATCTCACTGATGATGACTGACTGTCTGTCCCTCTTAACCCTGCTCCTCCTCTCTCTCTCTTTTATTGTATTTAAGGAACATTTTTATTTTATAATATTGCTTTTTAAATTCACAAACAGGTACTTTATTTTTCCATGTGTTTTCACTGTTAATAAAATACACATCGATATATACCGAGTATCGCCATTCAGCTAAACAATATCGAGATATGAGTCCATATCGCCCAGCCTTGATTGATCTATTGATTGATTGATGTTTTCTTTCTTTCAGTTTGTTATTTTCAATAAATCTCAGAGTGAATTTTGTCTACCGCAAAAATAACATGCATCATTTGGTAAAAGCTCATTTCAAGTTCACACTAAATACACACACACACACAAAAAAAAAAAAAAGGTCTGTGCAACTGTACCTGCAGATGAAAATACAAGTAACGATTGGTGTCTAGCAGCTCTGGGTGTAAGCTGTTAATGAGTGCTATAGCTTCCTGTATTTGCCCCTTTAGGATCATCTCTCGAATCTTTATCCTTTCATCCAAAGAGTCCAGGTCCACACTTGGCTCGATCCCCGACTCCATCCGAAACTTCTCTGCCGCCTCTTTAAATCCCTCTTGAAAATAAACAGAAATAAAGAAATTATGATGAGTTATGAATTAACTGTCTTTTTTTTTTTTTTTGGGGGAATTGTACAATTTGTGCTCATTGGGTGGTCAAAGCTTGCATGCCTCACCTGTCACCAGGTAATTCATAATAAGCCGATTCATGTCCGCCCTCTGTATGTGCACATTGTTTAATTTGTCCATCCACTCTTCTTTTGTGATGTCTTCAGGCTTTTCAGCATAACTCATCATTGGGATCCTGGAAATTGGAGAAGCCATTGGAGACACAGCGAAACGTGAGCAAGACTGACACAGCTCGGTCACAGTTTGTACCTACATGAAGAGCAGCGTTGAGGAGATAGAAATAAAAGGATTCAGCCAAAATGATGGTGAACATACGATTCTAACCCCCCCAAATAAAAGCCACATTAATTATTAAACAACACACGTGGTGTTTTCTGAAGTCAAATTACATGTGAGCTCCTAACAGTGACAGTAAAAAATAAAATAAAAAAAACAATTCAGCAATTCTCCGAGGTTTCCAAAACAAACCCATTTCCTCCTGAGCTAGTTAGTTAGCAGACTGTGTGCGCCTCACTCAACTTACCGTGCAAACACAGAAGCTCCGGAGATTATCTCTTTTATCAGAC